TGAGTCTGGGCTCCCTTTCTATACCAGTAAGGTCAGGTTCCTGGAGCCCGGCAGTGACATGGCACCGGTTACACCTAGCACAGCTCTCCGTGATTCCTTTTAGAAGTATGTTGGCACATGTTCTCGTCCATGTTCCCGTACCTCTCTTTTTCTCATCATTTTATGCTGCATTATGAGTGAATTCCAAGCCACTAATTAGTTCTCTCATCAACTGGGTTTATAATATTGGTCAGCCTATTCATGGTCATTTTATTTCAATAATTTTACTTATTTTTAAACTTAGGGTGTGTGAAGTGTCAGGGTATGAGTTGGGAGGTCAGAGGACAACACTTGCTAGAGTCAGTTTTTTCCTTCTCTCGTGTAGCTGCAGGGGATTGAACTCAGGTAGTCAGGCCTGGTATCAGGCACTTGACCTGCTACGCCATCTCAGTTCCTGGATCAGCTGTTCGTTTTGAGACAGGGTCTCTGGGTAACAGTCATGGCTCTCCTGGAACTCGATCTGTAGACCAGGTCAGCATCTAACTCACAAATCCACCTGCCTCTGCCTCCTGACCGCTGGGATTAAAGGCAACCACCACCACCACTGCTGCCGCCGCCGCCGCCGCCGCCGCCGCCCTGTATGAGCTTTTATGACAGATCCAGATTATAACGATTCTTAGCATGGGATTATTGCCTGCTTCCTGGGGTAATGTAGATAGAGGGTCCTAAGCTCTAACTTACAGATGTGAAAGCGTCAGTCAAAAAGTAGAAGAAATTCTTAAAAAAAGAAAGGAAGGAAGGAAGGAAGGAAGAAAGAAAGAGAGAGAGAAAGAGAAAGAAAAAAATCCCACCACGCAGCACTGCTTAGCGCTTTGATTGGCTTTCTGCAGGAATCTGGTCGGCAGCCCTGAATGGAGACCTGGGCCGAGTGAAGTATTTCATCCAGAAGGCCACGGACCCTAGCCAGCCTGACTCTGCTGGCTACACTGCACTGGTGAGTTACGGGGAGAGGCTTTAACTCTGGGCTGCCTCCTCTCTCCCCTTTACTTCCAGAAAAGCCTTTTAGTGTTTGTTTTGTTGGTTCTTGTTTTGTGAGTGTGTGCACTCGCGTGCACGGGTGCGTGTGTGTGTGCGCAAGCTTGCCACAGCGCATGTGTAGAGATCAGAGGACAACTTTTAGGAGTTGTTTCATTCTTTCCACTGTGTGAGCTCTGGGGGTAGAACTTAGATCACCAGACTTGGTAGTAAGTACTTTTAGCCAATGAGTCATCTCACTGGCTCTTGGTTTTTTTCTGTCTTTGGAAGGGTTCACTCGGTGGCGCAGGCTGTCCTTGGAGTCATTCTTGCCTCTACCTCCCGAGCACTGAGATTACAGACATGTGCCACCTTGCCTGGCTTTGAAGTTGGTTGTTTTGTCTTTTGAAATAGGCTCTCACATAACCCAGGTTAGCCTCAAACTTGCTGCGTGTGGAGGATGACCCTGGTCCTCCTGCCTCCTCCCAAGTGCTAGGATTACGGACACAGGTCTGCGCCACCATGGCTGATAAGCCTCTCACACCTACACTGTACCCTTAGTCACCTCCCCTTTTGATTGTGGCAGCCTCGTGAGCAGCTGGGTATTTTAATTAATGGAAGAGCACAGTGTCCCCGAGCCGACTCCAGCCCCGCCCCTTGCTGGAGAGCCAGTGCCCTCGTCACCTGCCAGTCTCTCTGACTTGTGCCTCTGCCCCCTGCAGCATTATGCGAGCCGCAATGGACACTATGCTGTTTGCCAGTTCCTGCTGGAAAGTGGAGCAAAGTGTGATGCCCAGACCCACGGGGGGGCCACAGCTCTGCACAGGGCCAGCTACTGTGGCCACACGGAAATCGCCCGACTGCTGCTCTCCCACGGGTCCAACCCCCGCCTGGTCGATGACGATGGCATGACCAGTCTGCACAAGGTGTGTCCCCTGCCTCCATCATACCTCCTGTTCCTTAATCTTACTCGTGTATTAGTTACTTTTCATGTTGCTTTGCGGTGACAAAATTCTGTTTTTCTTTTTTTATTTTCCTGAGACAGGGTTTCTCTGTGTAGCCCTGGCTGTCCTAGAACTCACTCTGTAGAGCAGACTGGCCTTGAACTCACAGACATCCGCCTGCCTCTGCCTCCCAGATGCTGGGATTAAAGGCAGTGCGCCACCACGCCCATGTGATAACAGAAGCAGCTTCAAGAAGCAAGGGTGTATGCTGGCCCACAGCTCAAGGTAGGGGACGCAGTCCATCTTGGCAAGCAGGCAATGGCAGTAGGAGGCTAGCAACATGAGGCAGCTGGCCAGAGGATATCTGTATTTGTTGGGAGGTGGGGAGGGAGCAATCCGAGGACAGCTTTCAGAAGTCAGTTCTCTCCTTCCACTACCTGGGGCCAGGGGCATCAGACTGATGTGGACAGGGTTGGTGGCAGTGCCTTGACCTTCTGAGCCATCTTGCACCCACGTTCTTGTCTGTAGTCAGGAAGCAGAGACCAGTGAATGCGGGTCCTCGACCTTGAGCTGGGACCTCAGCTCACGAGGCGAACTCTCTCTAGAAATGCCCTCACACCCCTCAGTGTGTCTCCGAGGGGACTCAACCCTAGGAGCTGACAACCAAGATTAACCATCACAGCGCTCGTTGTAGAAAACAGAAAAATGTGGAAAAGAAAAGCCACCTGGACACCCGGGGCTCACCTGCCACCACTTCAGGAAAGTGTGTGAATTAGTTCTCTCTCCCTCAGCGGCCATGTGAAGGCTTTCCCGTGGAATCCGCTTTTTGAAACCAGTACAGCTTGATCCCTCTACTACCCACTTTCTAGGTCATTTTTTGGGGCTCAGTATTCTAGGTTCTTTCCTCCAGGCATCCACTTCACGGATTGCTCCCTCCCTTGCTCCCTACCCCCCCACTTTCCTTCCTCTTTCACTTATCTATCTGTCTGTCTGTCTATCAAGTGCTGGGGGTTGCTAGACAAGTGTTTTACCACTGAACTATATGCCCAACCCACATAAGCATCTTAGAGATGTGATTCATGCATACGTTTATAGATAGAGTCCTTCCTTGCCCCAACTCTGATTTTCCACCAGTACCGTGGCTTTAAAAGAGTTCCCATCAAGCCAGGCAGTGGTGGCAGCGCAGGCCTTTAATCCCAGCACTCAGGAGGCAGAGCCAGGCGGATCTTTGTGAGTTCAAGGTCAGCCTGGTCTACAGAGCGAGATCCAGGAAAGGTGCAAAGCTACACAGAGAAACCCTGTCTTGAAAAACAAACAAACCAACCAAAACAAACAAACAAATAAAAGAGTTCCCATCAAACCCTTCCTGATCTACAGTGAGTTCCAGGATAGTTAAGACTACACAAAGAAACCCTGTCTTGGAGGAGGAGGAGGAAGAGGAGGAGGAGGAGGAGGAGGAGGAGAAGAAGAAAAAAGACAAGCAGGCTGAGCAAGCCATGAGGAGCAAGTCAGTAAGCAGCATCCCTCCATGGTTTCAGCTTTAGTTTGCCTCCAGGTTCTGGCCCAGACATCCCTTCATGATGAGCAACAACCAGTGCTGAAATAAAGCCTTTTCTCCCCAAGTTACATTTGGTCATGGTGTTCTATCCCAGCAACAGAAGTCTTACTAAGCTACCTGTTCATCTCGGGATTCTATCTGAAGTCTGTCTCAGGGGCAGCAGCTGGGGCCTGCGGCTGTCAAGTGTGCGGCAGCCTTAGCGCACTGGACAGGTGCTCAGTGAACAGCTTGCTGCAGGCTGGGTTTTGTTAAAGCCTTGACAGCTGTGGAAGTTTGAGCCTTCTCTTTTTTAAAAAGACTCACTAATAGCCTGGCGGTGGCAGTGGTGGTGGACATTTTAATCCCAGCACTCAGGAGGCAGAGGCAGGCAAATTTCTGTGAGTTCGAGGCCAGCTTGGTCTATAGAGCAAGTTCCAAGACAGCCAGAGCTACACAGAGGAACCCTGTCTTTAAACAAAACAAAAAAAGAACTTAGTTTAGGTGGCTCAGTGGTTAAGAGTGTACTATTTTTTTTAAGATGTATTTATTTATGTATACAGTGTTCTGCCTGCATGACAGAAGAGGGCATCAGATCTCATTACAGGTGGTTGTGAGCCACCATGTGGTTGCTGGGAATTGAACTCAGGTCCTCTGGAAGAGCAGCAGTGCTCTTAACCTCTGAGCCATCTCCAGCCCAAGAGTGTGTACTATTCTTGCTGAGGACAGAAGTCAGTTCAGTTCCCAGCTCTCAACCACTTGTAACTCCAGCTCTAGAGAATCTGCTGCCCTCTTTTGACCTTTGCAGGCATCTGTACACATCTACACATCCCCCTCACATACATATAATTACAAAAAATATGATTTATTTATGTCTGTATATCTGTGAGTGTATGCACACACTTGTGTGCAGATGCACATTTGTGTGCCTGTACATACACAGAGGCCAGAAATAGGCACTGGGAATTCTCCTCCATCTCTGCCTTTTCCTTGGAGATAAGCGTCTCTTCCTGAACTCAGTTTTCTCAGCTAGGCTGGAAGCCAGCAAGTCCCCGAGATCCTCCTTCCTGTCTTCACTCCCTTCAGTGCTGGGGCTATGTATACAGGCAGAACACTGTATACATAATAAATACATCTTAAACGGTCCCAGGTGCTTCATGGGTGATTGTGAGACGGCTAAATAAAGACCAGCATGATGACTGGGCAAAGGGTATTAAAAAAAAAAAAAAATTCCGGCTAAGCTGGGTGGTAGAGATGGTAGAGGAGCACATAACTGCAATCCTAAACCCTAGGAGGCCAAGACAGGAGAATTATGAGTGTGAGGCTGACTTGAACTATGTAGTGAGGCAGTCTCTCAAAAAGCCAAAATAAACCAACAACAATAAAATAAGAGATCAGGAGTGGCGGCACATGCCTTTAATCCCAGCATTCTGGAGGCAGAGGCAGGCAGGTATGAGTGAACTAAAGGCCAGCCAGAGCTACATAGTGAACTTCAGGCCAGCCAGGGCTACATAGTGAAACTCTATCACAAAACAAAAACAAAAACAAAAAACCATAAACATGAGCAAACAACATAGTGAGACCCCGTCTCAAAAGATGAAAAGAGGGGGTGTAGCTCAGTGGTGGAGTGCTTGCCTGACATGCACAGAGGCCCAAACATGGCTGCTCATACCTATAATTCCAGCACTTAGAAGTCAGAGGCAGGAGGATTGCCAAAAGTTCAAGGTCAGTCTGGTCTACATGGAGAGTTCCAGAACAGTTCCTTACGCTGACTAGCTGCCCAAACGGTCCCAGGTGCTTCACAAACCTGTGTCTAAGGCCTGGGGCTTTGGTAAGGTTTCTGCTCACACATCTGAGGTGCCCGTTTCCAGGCGACCTTTCTAAGGGAAAGGGAAGTGAGCGCGTGCGGGGCCCAGCTCGGGTATGTCTTTTGATTCGGGCCTCTCTCTCCACAGGCTGCAGAAAAGGGTCACGAGGACATTTGCTCCCTCCTGTTACAACACAGCCCAGCCCTGAAGGCTGTTCGGGATCGCAAAGCACGCCTAGCATGTGACCTGCTGCCCTGCAACAGTGGCCTGCGGGACCTGTTGGCCAGCTGAGGCTCCTCCTCCTGTCTCTGGCTGCCCTTGAAGAGTACCCAGACTAGCTCTCCACACCCTGCCTTGCTCAGTCAGCATCATGCTGCCGGGTGGGACTAGGGCCAGAATGCCCAGAAAAGCCCCCGCCTGGCCAGTGTGGGAGCCAGAAGGGAGGCTTGGGAGGCCTGAAGACTGTGACCCTGGACAGGTGACCATAGAAGTTAGTCCTTGTAGAAACGGCTATCCATTTGGAAGAAAATAAAGCTTGCGTCTTGACAACATCCCACAGACAAAGATAAATTTCAAGAGACAGAGACCTAAATATAAAAATGCAAAACTTTGAAGTATTAGAAGAAAATATAGAGTGTCTAACAAAAGCTGTTTCCTAGCTGAATCAGCTTGGTGCAATGTTCTTTTTTAACCTGCTTGTCCCTCGGTCCCCCCTCCTCCACACACACACCTAGAATGATTAGACTAGGCCTGCCTTAGGGTTACTCTGGGTCTGAGGAAGTCCATGGAGGGCACTCTAGTGAGTGCACTACATTACAGGCAGCATGGGAGAGTACCCATTGCCAGGCCTGGCCTGGCAGTGCAGGCCTGGCCTGGCAGTGCAGGCCTGAAATACCAGCTGCTCAGGAGGCTGAGGCTACAGAGGAATTCATGGCCAGCCTGGGCAACATAGACCCAGTCTCAATAGTTCAATGGTGGAGTGTTTGCCTGACATGCAAAAGCCGTGCGTTCAATCCCTAATACAATGGGGAGAAACAGTGCCCAGTCCCAAAGTCTAACTGATACTGGCTTTTATTCCAGAATTTCAGTTCTAGAAGTCTGGTCTGTACAAAGCGTAACTGTGCCAGGTGTAGTTACGCACACCTTTAGTCATGGCGCCCAAGGCAGGAGGATCTCTTGGAGCTCCAGGTCAACCAGAGCTACAGAGACCTGGTCTCCAAAAACCACGTAATTATAACTGCTTTTTTGTTTGTTTTGCACTGCTTACTAGTGAGACTACACACCTGTCTTTGACCTTCCTATTTACGCCTATTTGAAATGTTTTTGTTCTTGCTACGTAGTCTAGGCTAGCCTCCAACTTCGAGCCGTCCTCTGGCCTCAGCCTCCTGAGTGTTGGGATTATAGGTATGCGTCAGCACATCCAGCTTGCCATGTTTTTACTGATTCACAGGAACTTTATGTTAGAATATTGAGCCTTTGCTTTGGGTGTATGCATATATAGAGAGAAACATGTATAATATATGCCTCATGTATGTGTATTAAAATTTTCTTTGGCACTATCACTTGCCGTAAGTTGGTTGGCTTCCGGTCATGGAAACTGCCACACACACACCATAGATGGCAGTTTATGGTATTTAGCAATAGCTATTTCAGTGAGCAGAGCCAATAATTTTGACTTCTCTGTAGCAACCCAGGAAGATTCATCCTTGATAACAAAGGTGTCCATTTACAGACTCACTCACAAACTCTGCATTAGGGAACAAGGCCCTGTTCCCCAGCACCGAGAGAACAAGAGATGCATTGAAATATAGCGTATATTTAAAAAGAGAGCGCCAGGCATGGTGGCTAACGTATGATCAGTCCTAGCACTCAGGAGCTTAGGCAGAATTATAAACTTGAGGCCAGCCTGAGCTACAGTGTGAGACTGTGTTTGTGTGTGTGTGTGAGTGACACACACACACACTGAGCAGCTCCCTGGCAGGAAGGGGTCAGGTCCGGCACATCACTTGAACGTAGGTTAGCAGTGTGGCAAGGTGCCACGTGGTGCCCACAGCCTGACACTCTTCACATGGCCCGTGCCGTGCAGACACCAGAGGAGAAGAAGATATGGTTTCCCCTGGGCCACGGAGGCAGGACTAATCGAATAGGTCTTCAGTTTTATTTTTAAAAATAAAGACTAATTATTGTTTTTAACTTAGAGATAATACCATTTACCTTTGTGGGGCACAAACTAGCATTTTTTAAAAAAAATTATTTTTTTGTTTGGATACAGGGTTTCACGGTGGCCCAGATGAACTTGAAGTCTGGGGTCCTTTTTCTTCACCTGAGTACTAGGGGTTTTCTTTGTTTATTTGTGACAGGGTCTCTCTATGTAGTCCTGGCTTCCTGGAACTCTGTAGACCAGGTTGGTCTTGAACACACAGAAATCCTCCTGTCTCGGCCTCTCAAGTGCTTGGATCAAAGGTGTGTGCACCCCACACCCACCTGAGTACTAGAATAACAATCACGTACAACCATGCCCAGCTTCATCAAATGCAGGACAGGGATGAGCAGGGCTAGTCTGACTTTGTCTGCCGCCTTTCTCACAGAGAAACTGCTTCCCTCCGCATCACCAAGGAGGGTGTTTCAAAGAAAGCATCCTAATGCAGAAGACCCGGGCTGCTTTAAAAAGCTGTGTTTCCTTAAATTCTCGGAAAACTCTGCATGTCCATGAGGTCAGCATGGACCACAGGCGCTCTGGTAACCCTCTGTGGTCTCCGGTCCCCTTCAGCCACATTTCCCCTTGTGCTTATTTGGTTCTCCCTGTTCACGTTGCTTTCATGCTGGAGTCTTGTTTACTGGGTATCTGGTTTCCTTTCAAAGGTCAAGTTGGAATTTAGGGCACAGCAGAGGGAAAGGCATTCCTGGCTTCTGAAGAATTAGGAATTTGATTTTGTTGGCTAAAGACAGCCTGTTTCGTGGCTGGCTGTCATGATTATTGCTACAGACCGGGGACCCGGAGCGGGTCTCAGTCCCCTTGCCCTGTTGAAGGACATGTTTCATGCCCAGAGAGTTATCTGGTGTGGACCCTATGAGGGCTGAGGCGGAACACCGTGTTGGCTGACGGCGGCCTGCTGAGGGACAAATCGGGGAGGGAAGGGCAGCCTTGAAACTAGCCAATTGGGAAATCTTATGAAGCCTAGTTTCATCATGTAGGCCCAGGAGAATTCCCAAGGCGTTAGGTCAGCCTCTTCCGTTGTTGTCCCTCCTGAGGTCCTCTGTAGGACGCCTGCCTTGGGCCGCTAGTCTTTGCAATATCGCAGGCAGCCAGATCTCCATCTTAAGTCTGGATTCCACCAGTGGGCTCTGAACTCCCAAGAGTAAGAAATGTCTCCCTTGGGCCTGGCCCCAGCACCCCAGCCCCATGTGTTGGTAAAACGACTCCCTGCGAGATGCGGGACGCGGCAGGTGCCGGGTGGTGGGTGCCTGAGGAGGCTGCAGACTCAGCTCCAGACAGCTTCTCTTCCTGCCCTCAGTGGGCCACATTCCCAGACCTGTATTTTGGTTAGTGTGACAGAGCCCCAGAGTCATCTGGCCTGGGCACAAACTCTGTCCTTCCCCACCCCCAAGAGAGAGCTCTCCCATAAAAGGGCTGAGCGCTCTGCTAGCTTCGCTGGGCGTGTGGAGAGCAAGGGGGGGACCATGGACTTCATCAGCATTCAGCAGTTGGTAAGGATGCGAGGCAGGTGATTGGTAAGGACTCAACACAAGGGGCAGGTACCCGGACTTTATGGCCAGAGGCACGAAGTCTGGCTGACAGCAGACAGTGGCTTTCTGGGGATCGGAGGGTCACATTGAGGGGCAAGACAGCATGGTTCTTTCCTGCCCCGTCCTCATGTTAGGGGGTGTCAAGAGAAAGAAGATAATTGGGGATGAAGCTGGGTGTCAGTAGATGGGAAAATCCTTGAATTATTGAGTCTTTGTTTGTTTTTGGTGAGTGTGGTACTGGGGATCCATCTTGGGGCTTCATACATGCTAGGTTAGCACTCTCCCACAGAGCTGCACCCCCAAGCCTGCAGGTATGCCTGTCTGGATGGTCCAAAAGAAATGGGAAGTGGAGAGTTATCTGGAAGCCATGGGTAGAGCTGTATAGTTCCTTTAAGGTCAAGGACACACAGGACAGTCTGGTTGGAACTCCTGGAGGGTCTGGCCACTTCAGGGGTGGTGTTCTTGGGTTCCCCAAGCAGTAAGAGACACAGAGTGACGCCAGTGCAGCTGTGTAGTATCAATTTGGGTGACATGGGGCATGGAGGGTATGAGGCACCTATGTGTCACTGTGGTGCAGTGGCCCCAGCTGGCTCCGGGGAGGTGGATGACAAAGTCCAGACCAGGAGCTATTAGGTTGTTGAAGCTGCTGATTTCGAGGGAAGACCTGGCCATTGGGCCAGAAGCCTCAGCCTTCTGTTCCCCTCTCCCACACTCTGCACCTTCCCTGGTCCGCTCCAGCTTCCTGGGTGGCTGTTAAGGAGCTGGGTGGGTGTCAGCTGTGACCAGGTATAGGGACGGTTTGAGCTCATTTTACAGAGGCAGAAACATAGTTTCTCTAAGACCCAAGGGCTGAAAGCAGGGATTTGGAATTCGGCCCAGAAGCTTCTCTTCTCGAAGCTTGGGTCAGATGGCAGTGTGGCATGATGTCATCGGAATCCAGGGAAAGAAGCCCAGGATGGAAGCTAAGGTGTCTGCCTGAGTTCCCAGACATGAACCCAGTGATATAGACAAACACCGCCCTCCCTCAACTCTGTGATCTGCTGATAGCCGATAGGCAGTCATTACCCTGGGCCTTGGCCATTGCCACTGCAGATGGTTGTGTGTGTGTGTGTGTGTGTGTGTGTGTGTGTCTGTCTGTCTGTCTGTCTGTCTGTGTGCAGGCGCGCGCACGCGCGCACACTGTAGCCCACCAGGAAACATTCAGCAGGATGAGTCATGCTGACACCCAGGTTCACAACTGACCTTTGCACATCAGATCTCTGCCATCCTGCTGTGCCACACAACTGATTCCCAAGCATTCCTCCAAACTGTCCCATTCCTTAATCTACTCTACCTTTCCTGCAGGTAAGTGGAGAAAGAGCTAATAGGAAAGTGTTGGAGTTTGGACATGGAGTGCCTGACCCTGGAGGCTGGCCTAGTGACTGGAGGCTGGGACCCCAAGAGGCCGTGGCCCGGGAGAAATTGAAGTTGGAGGAAGAGAAGAAGAAGAAAGTAAGTGTTTTGGAAAGGGGTTGGGCAGTGTGGGTATCTATGAGTAGTAACTAGAGCCCATGGCCACTATTGCCCAGCCAGTGACTGCGTGCTTCTTCAAGGCATAATTAGTCAAGCCAGGAGTCTGCCCTGGGACCCTACCTGGTGACTGATGTCTGGCTTGGGCATGTCTTCTGCCCTAGCTGGAAAGATTTAACAGCTCCAGACTGACTCTGGACAACATGAGAGACTTGGAAAACTTGATTCAAAGACGAAGAAAAAAGCGACTGAGACACAAAGTCCCCCCCAGGGAAGCTGAGCCCGTGGTTGAGGTGAGTGAGAGGTTAAGGCTGGTGTTCCAGAGGCACAGATAGATGGCCTCCAGTCTTGGGGGCCTGGGAAGAATGGAGCTAGGGCCCGCAGCTGCTTAGGCAGCGCACGGGAGCTGCATGGGACGCATCCCAGAGCCTTCTGTTCCTTCCATAGGGCCATGCGTTAGCTGCTTAGCTTCCTGTGACCAAGCACCCGGCAACTTAAGGGTTATTTGGAAATGAGAGGAGAGAGGGAGAGGGAGGAGATGCTTTATTTGTGTACCAGTGTTTGCCTGTATGTATGTATGTATGTATGTATGTATGTATGTATGTATGTGCACCATGTACATGCCTGGTGGTCAGAGGTCAGAAGAGAGCATCATATACCCTGTACAGATGGTTTTGAAGCAACAGGTAGGTGCTAGGGACCGAACCTGGATCTTCTGCAAGAGCAACAAGCGCTCTTAACTGCCGAGCCACCCCCCTCCCCACACCCCAGTCCCAATGCTCACTTCCTCAAGCTTGTTCTCTTTTTCTTCAGCCTAGGACCCCAGCCCATCAAATGGTTTCCCCCACATTTACAGCGGTTCCTATCGGCTAGCCTTATCTGTAATCTCTCACTGATGTGCCCAAGGGCTTGTGAAATTAACCAGTATCACAGGCAGCTAGCTGTAACCAAGTGCTGGCCGTGGAGGACTCAGCCACACCAACAGGTCATTCCAGTTTGTTCAGAAGCTAGATGTGCTGTCCTGTCCTTGAGCGTCCACCCCCCTGCGCGGCTTCCTGGGGCTGCTGGAACTAGTGCCCGCTGGTCTGTAGACACGTGACCCATCTCTACCTTTTACTCACGTTCTGTGTGCCTACCTGTATCCAAAGTCCTCGACATAAGGACATCAGTCATACAGGAAAGGGGTCTACCCCACTCTGACATAATTACAAATGCAATGACCTTATTTTCAGAACGGTCATATTCTGAGATACTACAATTAAGATTCAGCATATGAACTAGAGCATGGGGTCAATTGGTACACAAC